TATTAGAGGACAATGTTATTTAAATACTAATAAGTACTTTATTATTCGTTGGATATTTTTTAAATGAATTGGCAGCTACAATTACAAATAAAGTTTGCTTGTGTATTCTACAGTCCGATTAGATATATTGTTTGCTTTTATTATTTCAACAACTCACTGTAGATAAAAAAAAAAAAAAAGGCTGACACATATATAAAGATGGAAAAGTTTTCACATTTCTGCCTAAGAAAGAAAAAAGACAATTTTAATACTACCTATTTACGTACAATACGATAAAACAACCATGAATAAGGGGGTTGTCGGATTTTCTCTTATTTCACCTCTTTATATATGCCGATTTTAAAGGTCCCCCCCAGATAAAACAGCCTCATTTCATTTTATTTCTTTTAGAAGTTATTTTTAATACTTTGCTACTAAAAATAATACGGCAATACCAAATTAGTTCTAAACTATGGAAGGTGAAAAGATAGTCAGCTGATCGAACCTGTTTCAGTCTGAACTCGTTACATCCATTTAATGATGCTTATTCATTGCTTATTCCAGATAATCCCTATTAATGGCACTATAACTAATAGTATGTCTATTCTTAATTTCATCTGCTTTACCTCACTTTCCCAGTTGGCGGAGAGGGCAGCGATTACGATTGTAATAGATATTAGCCCAGAAGGGCTATTACTCTCGAAACGGCATCTTGCGTTGAATCGCTATGAACAGCTGTATCACTTTTAAAATTGTTGCCACCAAATATTATCGTCCTGTATTATAGTTAATGAAACTAAATAATGAAAAATCTACGTGAATATATGTACTCTCTCGCACTGTGAAAAAAAACAACGGTACCTAGAGTCATCAAATTTTGAATCCTCCCGAACATGGGCATCTGGAAGTTCGAATCTGATATTTGCTTTATTGTCAGTTTCATATTTTGAAAACATTTAACGAACTTTCGATTAAAAAAAATCAACAATTTCAAAGCCAGCAGTGGCAACATTGTAGGAAACAAAACATTTTTATCTCCAGCGCGCCAGACTGTCTATCGGAAATTCTAAAGATATAGATAAGTTTACAATCTTCATGGATTCCATTTTAAGGGAAACTGGCTAGTATTGACGTTGCACTCCATGAAAACTCCCATGAAGCCAGCACGTTCGTTGGGGATTTAAACCCGAGTCGAACTATCAGACTCGGCTGCTCCAGTTTTAGTTGGATAAGCAGTTTTAAATTTTCAGCATTAATTCTGAAGGCCAGCCAAGTTTTATGTGTTTAAAAAATCTGTCATTCACCGGATACCTTGTGTGAAGCTTTCTTATCATTTCTTAGGCACAACTAAGCTATTTTGTTTGAAGGATTGAGTGACTTTTTCTGCGATAAGTGAATTCGGGTTTGTAATAAAATGATCTCTCTTCCGAATCTAAATTGTGTGGGCCTTGAGTAGATTAATGAATTGATGGAGATGGTACAGTCGACAGGGGTAGTGTTACGCACAACGGATGTTTGGAAATTTACGGAACCTCTGCGAACCGTTTCGATCTCTTTATCGCCTGGTGCAAGGGGTAAATGTACAGAAGGGGGAAATTAGGAGTATTAGCTAGATTTTTTTTATTGCAAAGCTACTAGGTCAGTGTATGTAAGCGCACATTTTAAAAACAGGTGCATATTTTAAACATAGTCGCATACAGTTTTGTTGATACAATTAAACCAAAAAGTGAAACACCGAAAAGAAACAAAAATTCATATAAGGGAATGAGCAATTAATTCAACCATTTACCGCGGTAGTAGGTTCCTTCTTAACTAATTACTGTTAACTGAATTTTAAGATTTTCCGTTCAAAATTACTTAATTACATCGTTGCCTATGAATAACAGACTAGAAGACGGCATCATGATGTTAAGCAAAGATGCAATGGTGTCTGAACATGAAGGCTTTGACAATTAAATTAACTAAAATTCACAAACATTGATAAACTGATACAGAATAACTTAACAAAGGAATTTATTTTATGTAAAAGCTAATACTCTGAAATAATTAATTACCCAGGATTAAAATGTGTATTTACTGGTTCGATACCATATTTGCTACATAAAATTTCAAAAGAATCATTTTAATTAAAGAATTCAGACAACATCAGTCTCAACAATCTAATGGAAAATCGCTCTGAAATGCTAAACACGGTGGAAATTAAGTAACATTGAAATTAAATACCGCAAAACAGCTTTCGAAATAACTACAAGCTTCAACTGCAGGATTGCCTCAGTGACTGAAATATTATAAAGGAAAATATTTCCAATCAGAGTATTCAGTATCACGTTCAAGGACACTGTACACAAAGAAAAATCGAGCATCCGTTTTTCCGAAGCCATTAAACCAGCGAGCGAGCTAGTCTATTGACCCATCGAACAGGTGAAATTTTAAATCTCGCTCCGACATAAAAGATACAGAAAAAATAATGCTTGAAACGTCTACATAAGCATCAGCTACGGTAGATAAATGAACTCATGTTGCGTAGTCCGGAAACTGACGCTAAAAAGAAGGAAGGTTTCGAAAGAGTGACAGAAGACCAGGATGAGTTAATAGAACTAACTTATACTGCAATGTTTTCTACCGTTATTGTTACAATTTTGTAAAAATTTCCGAAGTAACTTTTCATGAAAATAAGCACATATACTGTAACAAAAGCAGTTCATTTCAGATATAAGAATGACAAAGCTTCTCGGTCAAGGTGCGACAAATTAGGTACAATGACAAACAAAAAATAATAAGCAGATTAATGACCAGATACAGTTTTATTTTAATATATACTATGCAGTCAATGTTTACTTTAGCATCGAGGAAAATACTGTATGAACACGAGAGAAAAAACAGAATTTTCAGCAAAAATTTTAACAGAGCAACCGACGGACCCAGGAATATTATTTTATTTCAAAACAGCAACTGGATGCTGTAAACGATGTAAAATGCATAACTGCTGTCCTTGCAGTATGACACGTAGGTTGGACTAGCAGAAGATCTGAATTGAGTTTCTTTTATGAAAAGAAACTTTTATTCGTGTATAGGTATAGTACAAGAGGAAAAAATATCCTTAATATACATAATACTCAAATTATGCAGGAATTGTATAGTAAAGTTCGATCTGAATTCTACGAACTGAGTTTTACTGCAGTACAAAACAGAAAGAACTCATAAAAAGATTTCATGTCTCTTTTTTAAATTAAAAATAATATTAATATTATGAGGATATATGTTTGACAACTATAGTTTACAGGTAAAGGATGTAGGAATTCTGCTCAAAAGTATGTGAAATACGGCTTTTATTTACTAGACTAAATGGTATCAATATTGATAAAACGTGCTATCACTGAATATGTAAGGATCTTATGTTTATTAACCAGTTATTACGATTTTAATCTGTACCATACCATCTTCTTTCCGTATTCCTCACCGGAATGCAAATTAGCTCAGGGTTTCGAATCGTAGAGAGTTTCTCGCACTCGCTCCGCGCTGTTAGAATTTCGCCAGCTCTATCTAAAAGTGAGTATGGCTTTTGTATTCTCTTCCTAGCGGATACTTTAAACTAAACGGTAAAATTAATTCAGCCAGATCTATATCTTATTTATTTGACTGTATAGTCTTAGACTACTTTATTAACGTTAATTAAAATTCAATTTCCAGATCAATCGAAACCTTATAAGTGGAGCCCGAAAACCTTACGCACCATACCACAAGACAATGTCGTTTTTAGTCTGGTTCCCCCCCCCCAGACTTCCAGGTCCCTCCCGGCAGCAGGAAACCCGATGGAAGGCTTCGCTTTCATCATAGATATTATATGAGCACCGATGAAGCCGTCTATCACTTTCGATGGTGTATCTTCCAAGTTTGCAGGTTTGGAACAATTAGAAACCCTACAACTATATCAGAGCAATATTGAGAAGCACGTGACTTTTTAATGGCTCACTTTACTGCATTGACAACTTAAGTACTTTTATAAATTGAAAAATAGAATGAAGATCTTATGACATCCAAAATTGATAACAGCTTCCCATTTTGCAAAGCTAGTCTCTTCATGATAGTGAAAACAGGTAAATCCCGAAACTTTTAGTAGGTGCTTAAAAAAATTTCTCTCATAAAAATCTATAACATGTGTAAACACTGACTTAAAGCCAAATTTTAAGAAATGCTGATACATAAGAGATGTTACTCAGACATAAAATTTACTCGAAATTAAAGTTTAGAGATCTTAAAGAAGATGACAGCTTTCCATTATCACCATATTGTGCTTACTAAATGTACTGAATTTATATTTCGTCTGTTTCGTTTTAGGACTGGTAAACGGCCTAAATCTGGTACATGAAATCTATGACTTATTTATTTTAATCTGAAAAAGTTAAAATTTGAAATATACAAGAAATCAGTTACTCACTTCTGGTATTCATCCAAACTGTTAAGAAAAAAACGATTTAAAAAAAAAAAAAACTAAGAGCCTGTTACAGGCTCAAAAGAGATAAATTGCATAACTTTTTTTAAAGGGATCGATGAGAAAAAATGTAAAGCAGCTTTTCTTTTCTTCCTCTCTTCTTAAACATTTGGTCAACAGTGGCTGAGCAGCTAAAATAGCAAAACACTGGCAGTTCATCAAATATAGATGCACTCATTATGATGTTTTCGATGGTTCGAGGTTTTTCGCTGTGCATACTGAAAATGAGCCAGTTTGCCTAAAAATATCATCCACAAAAGCATTCCATAACCTCTCAGGCATGCCTCGTGTATATTTAATAAAAGTAATTCAGTCCTTTCACATAGGTAAGGTATCACATAGTAATTCAGTCCTTTCACAAGCATATTTTAAAACTCAGAAAACCTTGAATTCATTTATGAAGATAATTAAGCAAATTTTTGAATTCAATTACAGAAACTATAAAATATTTGCTATAAGCTTTTGTTATGAAATGAATATTAGAAAAAGCTTAATTATATGATAAAAAAATAAGAATCTATAAACTTACCCGCTCTGGAATTTTGAGCGTGCCTGGCCGGAATGCGGTCCGTTTAGACGGAGGGGCATTGTTTACAGAATCGCCATACCTCGGCACTTGAGCCATGGAATTAGATACCATTCCGTTTTGTCCATACAAAGGCAAGGATTTATTATAGGCAGACGCAGCACTAGTAGTAGCACAAGATGCCAAAGTAGAGACATTATTGTTGGTCACATTAGCACTATTATTCAAATTAGCACTAATATTCAAATTAGCACTAGTGTTCAAATTAGCACTATTATTCAAATTAGCACTATTACTCAAATTAGCACTATTACTCAAATTAGCACTATTATTCAAATTAGCACTATTACTCAAATTAGCACTATTACTCAAATTAGTACTATTATTCAAATTAGCACTATTACTCAAATTGTTATTAAAATTGAATGGAACAGCATTCGTTCGTCTTGGCTCTTTATCCTGCCAGGCTACTGAATCCCGGACGCGAGTATCTTGATTATGATAAGGAACAGTCGAACCACTATTAGGATAAAATGGTTTAGAAGCCTCCACTCTGTTGTTTCTAGGATAAACAGGCCTTTTGTCAGGACCAACTTTCGGGTAGGTTGGCGCACCAACTGGATTAGGTTTGTACACACCATTCACTACTTGGGGCGGCCTTTTGGCAGTAGGTTGTTGTACCCTAGAAGAAGGGGCAGAGCTATGCCCTGGAACTGGAACTGGTCTTGAAATGCCTATTAAATTTTTTGGATCATTTATGAGCACCTGAGTAAAATCTCCAAGAGTATTTTTAATACGACGGGATGTCTCATCTTCCAGTTCAACCTGTAATTAAAAATGCCATTTATTAATTTGATGTTAAAAAACACTCACACATAAAATTTTCTTATGCAAAATTAGAATTTTACCGTAGCTGGTGCTATTAGTTCCAAAACATACCAGTTTTATCAGGGGGGAATGGAGATAGTATGACCAGCTCAGATAATTGCATGTAGGCGACGGTACTTTTTTTGCAAGTTGGTAATGCGCAAGTTGCAAGACGCAAGGGACATTACATGTTAACCACGTGTAATGTCCCCTGTGTCTTGGAAAGATAAGGAAAAGATACTTCAACATGATAAAACAAATGTCCGTTATTTATCACACTTTACATTTTTCATATATACATAAAAAATAACTTTAGAAATGAAAGTTTATTGATACAAATCACGTAATTTAAAAAGTTTCAGACAAAGCATTACATTGTTATCCATAAGGAAACTCGAAACGAAGACTACATAGTATTGTTGGGTGTCGAAGTCTAGATTACTCCCCTCCAATTCAGCTCTTATCACAGTAAACACGTTTTCTACAAGACTGCACATCTTTTCCTCAAAAGGCAATAGTATTTGTTGGGGGAAGAAGCAATTATTTCGAAATTATCTCGGGGAAAGAATATCTGTCTATCACACGTGTGTTTCTTGTGAAATGCAAGACCTTTTAATGACCTTCAAAGTCTTTGAAAATGCTGGAGCTAAGCCGCAATAATGGACAACTGCGTTTTAGGATACTGAAGGAAATTATTTAAAAGGAGGACTTTTTCCTTGCAACATTAAAAGCCTGCATAATGAAAAAGCAATTTAAAAAAGTTCGTGCATCACCTTATCTTGAGCATCTGAACTGATTTTGGTGGGTAACCTCAGCCCCCTCCCCCTTTTCCCAAAAAAGAATAGTTAATAGTACATCATCTTGAGGACATTTTTTTTCACAAATTTAAATGAATTGGCATTCTTTGTCAGGTTGCAAATGAAAAATAATGTAAAAGAACTATAAAACTAATAAACTCTCTCTCCCTAAATATTTGTAAACTGCAGTATTACACCAGAAAGAGGAAATTTATGTTAGAAGGAAGGAAAAATAATACTCCTTAAAAATATACGTTTGCATTCAGTCAATAGCCTTAGATACATTTGAAAGCATAAATATAATCATATTGAATTGAAATCTACTTTTAGTTACCAAATCACATCTTAGGTGCATTATTTATAAGCTTTTCAAGCACATCAATTGATATTAGATAATTTGGTGAATTCTTTGCTCACTTGCTTCTTGTATAAGGTGAATGCAAATAATCCAAAACTTTTCAATTAGATTAATCACTGTAATCCACGATCTGAATTACAGAAGCAAACTAGTTATTCATTACCTCTGCACAATGGGCAAGGAGCACTGTCGTCCTGGAAGACGAAACGTTCATTTTTTGACTGTGATGTCTAACAAGACAGCATTTTCTTCTCTAGTAGCGAAATCAGCACTAGTTTAATCTCCCACAATGGCCACTCCGTGAGCTGAGATGATCATAATGACAATATGAAATTACACAGTACATTAGGGTTTGAATTTCTTTTTTTTTTTTTTCGCAATGCATAAATATCGTTTCTTTGTTGGATGTCCAACAGATTGTTCCATCACTCCAGATAATCTTATACGCCATTGATCTACGGTTCATACTTTATGACTGCATACTCACTGTAGACGATTGTCTCCCCCCCTCTTTTATTATTATTATTATTATTAATGGGACATCTTCCCAAACTCATGACCTCTAAAGTCATTTTCTCTCCACTTGAAATTTACAGTTCATCTAAAATAGTGACTGATTTACACAGGTGTCACTTACATCTCAATGTCGGTATAAATTTTTCGAATACTTATGGCTATCAAAGCTACTTTTCAATCGAACAATATGTCCATTTCACACAATATATTTCCATGGTCGTTTCTTTATTGGTGAATCTTTCAAACTGTTGGCTATACTGAAATCACTAATGCACTTGGTTAATCTTCGAATGATAATAAAGAAATTTATGGGAACCAGGCTGTAGCACTTTTCTTCATTACGTAGTGAAAACCTTTTAGCAAGTATAAGCACCTCATCAAAAAGAAAAACACTTGAACCTAATTTAAAAAAAAAAAAAGTAAAAAGCATAAAACATCTCTCAGCTATACAAATAACACTGCACTCCACTGACATACATCCATGACATATATTGAATATGGATATCAAAAAGCACTGCAAAGATTAATATCACTTTTTATTGGTCACTTGTACTTCAAACACATTCAAAACACATTCTTTCGGTCAGGACTTAATTTAAAAATGTACACCTAAAGAATCATAGAATTTTAAATAACAGTTCTATAAGACTAAAACTTATCACAGACTTTTGAAAGTTACTCGGATATTTCAAATATATGAAAATACTGAATTATTCACTAGTGTACTAGATAGATGTTTAAATCCATATACTTTCAGAACATACTTATTCCTTATCTCAGAGACTAGCTTCGCTGTTTAGTACTCAAACTACAGATTTAATATGAAGTGTATCAGGACTTCCGCATTAATCTGTAAATAAGAACTTTTACCGAAGCTGGTTCCAGCAATAAAATGGATGACTGAACAAAAAGATAACTATGCATTACGTAACTAAATATATTTTTATGAAAGACTGACTAACTTTTGGTTGAACTACCACCCCTTGGCTGCTATGGGGGTTCTCAGCTGGGACTCCAGCTCGAATAGTTGCATTTGGTTACGTAAAGCTCGAACGAAGCTACGAACGAACGAAGTTACGAAGCTCGTAAATATTCTGTTATTCTGACAAATGAAACATTTCAAACTTCAACTATATGAAATTGCCTCTGGAGTACTGCCATTACGATATCTAAAATTACCACCAAACTCCATAATTGCTTTACCAACTTCATCTCATGCATTTATTGAACTAATTTTTCTTACTGTAATAGATCATATACAGATTTGCATAGTTCATAGTTTTAGGCAAATGTAACTGAAGACTTAATTCCAGAAACTTCCGTAGTTTAAGTAAATCGTAAGCCATGCCATCGGAGCGATGCCTGCACACTAGAGAAGTTTACGTTATGTTCTGTAACCCGGATATTGAAACTCGTCATCGGTATTGTATAGTGAAGAAATTTATTTCATGTGAAAGCATTTATCATTTAAGGAATTCCGAACTTCGCTTTCTAACAATTCTAGATACTTAAAATAAAGCATCACGTAATTCCACTAGTGACTGAGCACATAAAATGCCTTGAACACTGAACGTTTTGTTCCAAACTTAGTTTTTCCTTATACGGAGTTGTTTGCGATTTTTTCTCCTATTTTATTAGCAGAAGTCTCCAAAATAACTTCACCTTCGTTCGTATTACAAAAAGAAGAAAAACGTTCTTAAGCTACTTTGCCAAATGCAGGAAGTTTCGGACTGACGTAACTTCCTATTTAGTTACTCATCAAATGTTTTTGCAGACACTTTTTTCTTTAACGCACCTAGTTATAGCAAGCAAATTAATTATTTAATATTTCATCCTCGAATTTTAGTTAGGATGCCAAGTTATTGTTTCTGAAATCATATGGTGAGCAGGCAAATAATTTCGAAAACCAACATAAAATAGACTCATTTCTTCACAGCACGATCGTGGGAGAAACACGCCATAAAGTAATGTTCCGCCTTTGAAACGCTGCGAAATTCTAACAATAAGAGAATAAACTATACAAGGTCAACTCATCCATGAATTATTTCCGACAGTTTATGTAATCTTCGAAGTTCTTATTCCTGAAGAAAGCTTAAGGACAATATGCTCGATTCCTATTGCGATATTCTAGAAAAAGGAAAACTATGCATTTTACAACCAGTTCATCTAAAATAATTTCTTGTTTATCAATTCGATTCATTACATAGCAACATATATTTTTTTCATCACATTAATACAACACTGAAAGTCAGTTCCAGAACTTTACAGCACATTATTTTTTCCAATCATAATCTTTCAGCTTAATTAGAGATGTAACAAAAATTTCTCAAAGCTTTCACACTGTGGAGTTCAACACGGTCTGGTTAATTAAATTCATACAGCATAATAATAAATATCTCAGGTTTAATAAATGGCATACAATTTAACACATTACTAGAGATATTATATGGAGAAACCCTTACACATGTATATAAACTGCAAAGTATGTATATGCTCTTTGAGCACTTCTTGAGTTCTGATTACAAGCTTAAAAGCAAAGCTAATTAAGATGCAAATAATGTTGTGATTTCCTTTCTATTTGCAGTGTGAAGGAGAAAAAAGGGGTTTGCTAGCATACGGAAGATTTAATATTTTTATCTCCTACCTTTGTACCCCACCCTTTCCTTTATTTCGAACAGCAATTATCTATTTGATAGGTGCTTTCCTTCCACTACTTAGCAACTTCGAAACTGTTGAAGTACCAAAGTAAAATACATTTAAAACAAATTCTCTGTCTCTTTTCTACCTTTCATTTATTTAATCTTAATCTAGCTTTAAATCTAGTTAAAATTTTATCAGATAAATTTTTAAAAGCTCAGGAAAGAAATATTCTGTAACATGATTTCTGCATACATCTTAATTAAATTTTAAAAGACTCAATTCCTGTGACAAAGAAATTAAGAACCCCCCCCTAAAAATTCAAACTCTCTGACTGTAATCGCTATTATAATTAAGTACCATTTAACCACTTACTATTTAACAGTTTGAAAGTAATACACAATTTCAAATCTTGATATGGCTTAAGCAAATCAAATAACATATTGATATTTCTAATTTCCGATGACATGACGCAGTAGTTCTTCAATATTTGATTATGTAATTTTGTCTCAAAGAAAGACCTAAATTTTAAAGCGACATTATCAACATTTCATTGTGTACTAACTTCTAAAGAAGATTATAAAAAATATGCAGGATAAAAACCAAGATGGAATGACAAGTGCAATCGGAGAAAAGGAATGTAAGGAAGA